AGTACAGCAAAGAACAACCTTAAAAGTTTATTACTCAATTTTATGGCACAAACCTTGGTAGCGTGGCAAAATATAATTTTTTAAACTTATTTCGCTCTTCTCTTCCCAAAATTAATGCGCAATCTCCTAATTACACTAACCTCAATTTCACGGACGCAAATCAAAATTTTTCGTTTTGTGAACAGATATAATTAAAAAGTTTCTGCCCTTCATGAATGTTCTTTTATAGTGCAACATGCACACACAAGAAGTTCTTTTCCGCTGCGTTTAATAGCGTAGGAAATTCATCGGATATCAACAAACGCTGGATTTCGCCCATTTTCGCCTCTATTTTCAAATTCCTCGGATATCAACAAACGCTGGATTTCGCCCATTTTTGCCTCTATTAGCGCAAAATGCACACACAAGAAGTTCTTTTCCGCAGCGTTTAATAGCATAGGAATTTACACAAGAAGTTCTTTTCCGCAGCGTTTAATAGCATAGGAAATTCCTCGGATTGCAACATGTACACACAATTAGTTCTTTTCCGCAGCGTTTAATAGCGTAGGAAATTCCTCGGATATCAACAAGAATTTCTTTTCCGCAGCGTTTAATAGCATAGGAAATTCCTCGGATATCAACAAACTGATTTCGCCCATTTTCGCCTCTATTTTCTCCCAGTATTCTGAGGTGAACGTCCAAATTACACACACAAGAAGTTCTTTTACACAGCGTTTAATAGCATAGGAAATTCCTCGGATATCAACAAACGCTGGATTTCGCTTAATAGCGTAGGAAATTCCTCGGATATCAACAAACGCTGGATTTCGCCCATAGTAGCATAGGAAATTCCTCGGATATCAACAAACGCTGGATTTCGCCCATTTTCCACAGGAAATTCCTGAGGTATCAACAAACGCTGGATTTCGCCCATTTTCGCCTCTCTTTCTCCCCGTATACTGATCTGAACGGGACTCAATTCTAGTAAGCATCATTATGCGCCTCAAGTCAACCCAATGAACTAAATAAGCAACCTCAAGCGTGCGTTAAATCCTCTAATTCCCAACCTTTCATCAGATAGGTAATCTACTGTATGCGTTCCGCTTATGCGTTATTTGAAAACGTAACAAACGGAGTAATAATTATTTCAAAATATGACCAGATATATATGGCCACTCTTTTTTGCATTGGCAAGCTTATTACAGATCCTGGGAGCAATCACTATGGTGAAAAATAATCCGTTATGAAGATAAAAGTAGGTTCTTTCATCTCCGGTCAAATTTGATCGTTTATCCTCAGGTAAATTTAAAAACTTGTCATAAGTCTCCAGTTTCATTTTGGCATTACCTTGACGAAAGGTAATATACACAGAAATTCGCTAGCTGAATATCTAATTAAAACACTTTTTGAAGAGGTAACCTATTATAGAAAGTTTTCTTTATTAATCTTAGGAATAACAATATCAGAATTCTGTTGCCGACGTTATGTATTCTCAACAATGTGGTTTGCTGATTTAGAGCTTTTCTAAATATGATCCACGTGGTCATCTTCACAAGAATTAATATCCAAAAACTTTTTTTTCGGTAAATACTTCTTATTTATATCTTGTTTTAAAGCTTCTGATGAAATGGTCGAAGAGAAGATTAATTCACGAATGAAGGAGAACGTTAGCGTTCCAGGTATTTGCATGGGTAAAGGAGAAGGGTGGTCGAACACCATATCGATTTTTTTTATTAGTCTGAGCTTTCGAATTCTTACAAGAAGCCATCGTCAGAGATAAGAAGAAGCAAGAAAAGAGGGGCCAGTTATAGCGTGTGCACAAAACAATTTAAGTTTGAACGTGTATAAAATCAATAACTGTCTGGCGTGGGCGCCGATGGGCCGAATGACGCATCAGTCTAAGATGCGTGCGTATAATATCATTAGAATCTGAAAATATGTACGAATCTGGTTGATTAAAAAGTCTGTCTGTTATAGGATCCAATATACTCCTCATCAGACACATAAGGGGAAGCAGAGCTGTTGTGCCTAGTAAACTCATGCAGAGGATGGAAACCAGAACAAATTATAAACTGTACAGAAGCCAGTGAAAAACTTTCAACTCAGACGAAGTCAAGGCATTTTAAAGGCTAAGTGGCAAGAGAGCGTCCCTGCCATTAAAATTCTGGATAAAAAAACGACTTCCGCATATCCATGCCATTGGAGCGGCCACGACGTCCGAATGGATGATAGATGCCTACCCAGTCTATTATTCAACGTCAACAGTACCAGGAGTGAAGGCGGACTAGATAAAAACGGGTGCCTTCACAAGAACAGTCTCATTAGTCCGTTAACGCAATGAGGATACTCGACAGGCCTGAAGCCCTGATCCATCACACCCATCGCACAGAAGAAGCTAAAGGAAAGAAAGATTCGACCGAACCCGATAAAGCAAAAACCGAACTCCCGCCAAACGTCTGACATTGCCAACCGGCTTTCAGACCACATATCGAACTCATGGGACATCCTCAGGTACACCGTTATTTAAACCCGCCTTTTAAAAACAAAGCCCCAGAAAACAAACACTACCACCAGCAAGAACGCTGAAAAAGAATTTGCCTACCAACCGTCCAGTCACTGGCACCGGCAGTCCTACCGTCGGTTTCGGCAAGGTGCACCGTGTTCCACAGCAGCGCGTTGCAGGGACGGTGACTGGTGCTGCATTTATCTCGCTTTTTATATTCTCTCACCTAGGCTCGACTTGAAGACTGTAAATAAGGCCGGAGATGGGGGAGGGTAAGTTTGTGATCGATGGGTTCACATGGGAGTGGTCCTTATCCGACCACCCTACTTTCAGCCCTTTAAAAACTCGTGATCACGGCTACACCAATGCAGATTAAAACCTTGATTTTTGGGGCGTTTAATTTGCCAATTATCGAAGACTAACTGACTCCAATTGGGATCCCAGGTATTTCTGGCTTGACGCTGGGGTGCGACTACCTTGCTAACAGATGAAGACAAGCAATATAGAAATGGCCGCATCAGTCTCAGCTGTCATTCTCATCATTAGCACCATCCCATTAATGCTCGCTTAAAACACAACCATTGGCCAGCGGAACCCTAGAGAATTAGGGACACTGCAGCAATGACCAAATTTCGCCTGCCTGAATGAGTCCAAAAAGTGTTAGAGTAGCACTGTCGATCAAGGGACGCAGGAGGTAGTTGCATCGCTTCACCAAATCGAGAGGCAAAGCCTTCAGACGTTGCTGAAGGAGTTCTATTTCCTGACGCTGTTCCTCCTCCACTGTGAGCAAAACTTGAGCATCAACGCCGCAGCCGCCACTCTTTGGCCGGTTTTCTTTTTCCTGCAACTCGCCATCACCGTGAGTACGGCAGCAGGCACCGCTGCTCCAGCAGTCGTCGTGACCACAGGTGCAGAGGCCCCAGCAACATTTCTCTGTCTAAAGGTCAGAGATAGGAAGGCAAACAGTTTAGAAGAGAAAAAAGGTTGCTTTTTTCGCAAAGAACTAGTTGTCACCACCGCCACTGCTAATAAAGCCGCTATAGATTCGCATGAGCTAAGAGATCGGATATAAGGATGCCATTTACTAATCGATATGTTCACTTAACTGAGACTCAACGCTAATTTGAAAGAGAAATGATAGTAAGGTTGTACCTATTCAGACTAAATGTTCATTTCCTCACAGAAAGCACTCAACCTCCCCACAAAACTGATTTGCGCAAAATAAGCAGTTCGGTGTTTAAATGCAGAGACAGGGCTCCAGCTCTGTTATTCACTTTTCTCGATATTGAAATATTGTGGATGTGAGAAGAAAGAACGGCTTAGATATAATAAAAGTCTGTGATAGAATATGCTGGTCGGCTCCACACTTATAAAGTTAAATGTACAATTGCAGCCACAGGCCTGAAGTCTGCTAGGGGGAGACAACATGTCGACCAGCCTTCATAACGATGTTCATCGCGTGCTCCACAGCATGGTGGGTGCAACACGGTGGCTGACGCGTGAATTAGTTTAAATCGGTAGCAGATTACCGCCACCATTTAAGTAATAGATTGCACAGGTGGCATGCACCGCGTGAGCGTATGCTTAGACTTGCCACCCTACACCCGCATCTAATAACCTTTCCCAGATTATTGACCCACTCTGACAACCGCACGATTTATTTCACTTATCCGCCTACTTTACTTATGGTATAAATATTGAGGCCTGACAAGAATTTATCGAAAGCAAACATATGC